CATTACTATAATCATCATTGTTTTAACCAAAAGGCACTTTGGTGAACAACTGCTGTTTTAAATGTGCTTTTAAAAAAATGATATTTGACTTTATATTTGTAAATATTTAATTTTCATCCCACATGTTCTGAAACTACTANAATTTTGGACAGATTTGATGTGTTTTTATTGTATTTAGAATGTGAAAAGAAGCCAGGATCAGTGTGGACTGGTTAATTCTGCCTGCGGTGTTGCAGCTTCTTCTCTTTGACTTCGTGCCTGGACTCGCCTCCACCTGAATGAGGCGTTCAGAAAACCTCCATAAACCCACAGAGGCATGAAGTTAATCACCCTCCTGCAAACCGACACAAAGGAGAACAGCCTGAGAGCCAACAGGGCCTCGGCTAAACCACCGTCTGGATCCTCCCAGAGAGTCCGAGCAGCAGCAGCAGCAGCAGCTCGATGTTTCTGTCGCTACAAGGCTTCAGGCTTCAGGCTTCATGTTTGGAGGCTCGGAGCTGAAGTCAGAGTCTGAATATAATCACAGCTGCTGCAGTGGAAGGAAGCAGCTCTGCAGTTGGTGTTTTTGTCAGCTGCAGAGGGAAGAAGAATCTCCAGCTGATCGAGTCCATCCTCTGAAAATAAACTGGTTCAAGTCTTCAGCTCCCAGTTTCTGTTTTATTCGCTGCAGTAAAACAAAAACGATTCTGTTTCAGGTTCTTGAAGATGCTTTAATCCAATTTCACATGTCAGCCATCACCAAAAAGAAAAAGAAAAAAGAAGAAGAACTGCAAATAACATCCCCATCAAACATCAGTGTTTGTACAAATGGTCCTTTACAGCGTTTGAACATGTCGTTGCTCTGCTCTTGCTGTATTTAAACTAGAAAAAACAAAACCAGTATTTTACAGATATTTGCCATTTTTTGAACAAAACAGAACATGAAGGACTGAAAAACTGTAAATATTTATTAACTGTTATTTACAGATTCATCTCATTTTGTTAAAGTACATGTAATATCGAGTAAAATCAGAGAAAAATGTTTTCATTCAAATATTAATGCTTGAAAAACGGGCTAAACCTACATGATGTGCACATGGAAGCTGTTTTTATAAATATTGATTTGTTCATTAATAATTAGTGACTTAAAATCACATTTAAATGCACTAAAAATATATATTTGATATATACATGGTTTTATCTTTGTTTTTGTTTTTTAAAACAGTCTTTATCCATCATCTCTACACCTTAATCCTCACCAGGGTCATGGGGGGTTGGAGTCTATCCCAGCTGACTCAGGGTGAAGGCAGGTTCACCTGGACAGGTCACCTGTCAGGTGACCTTCTAGCTGTGAGGCGACGGTGCTAACCACCGAGCCACCTGCAGCCCAACAGTTTTTATGTGTGACACTATTCTACTGTTTCTAACAAACTGTTTCTGGCGTCCCAGCTGCCAGGCTTTCACTGAC